AAAAGTGTCGAGAGGAAGCTTCAGCCAAAGGCCATGTTATTTATGAAGGCAAAAGTGGGCATATTTTATCTTATGATAGTGAGTATTTTTGTATTCTGCCTGATCAAAGTCAAGGCTGCAGCAGATTCTGTTTTTATAATCCATAGCTGAAGTGTATCTGCTTCCAAGGGGATGAGTATAAACTTCAGTCACTGAGGTGCTGTCTGGGAGAAGTATTGACCTGCATGTATGTTTGAGGGTATGAGAATTAAAGTGATCCAGAAATCGTGCCTGTGTTCTGAAGAGTCTCCTGTACTATGTATTTAAAATACAGTTAAACTATTTAATTTCTGTGCCATTTATTTCCAGTTGGTCATGGGCTATTTTTATTTTGAAAGGTTAAACAACCAAGTTTAAAATTATCTATATTAAAATCAAAAGAAGTGTATCATTTAACTCTGAACTTCAATTGAAATACTGATAAATGAGTAACTATTTGAACAATTTTTTTTTTTTTAACAAACCATAAAATATCTTTTAAGGTTGAGATTTAATGTTACAGTATTATATTGAAGTTGTGTTGTTAAAGTATTAATGACCTGTGGTCTCATTAAATATAATCCTCATGTGTCTTTTTTTTTTATTGTCCACATTTCCTAACCACACTTCTGTAAATTTTACCAGCTATTAAAAATGTTCGTGAAGGAACAAGGAGTCCAAGAACTGCTCATGAAATTGGTTTAAAGAGGAGCTATGATACAATGGAAGGAAATATAAAGCAAGGAATGTCAATGCGGGAGTCTCCGGTGTCTGCACCACTGGAAGGTAAAAATAGCTGCTTCCAAGGTGTTTTGTGTTTTTTTCCAAACCTTTTGCATCGATGTAAGTATTTAGAGTTATTTTATGGAGCAGACTAGAAGAGAAATTAGATTTAAATCTTGCACTACTAACCAAATCCATGCAATAACCACTGCAGTTAAAGCATGCTGGAAATATAATTGGAGTAGATAGTAGTTTTCCTCTTTTTTTTTTTTGTGCTGGTGTGTTACCATAACTGCTGGTATTTCAGCTAGCACTCCTCTCAGTAGATCTGACATGTGTAACTGACTCTTCACAGTCCCAGCCAGTTGTCGCAGAGCTGAAACAACATAGTCATACTACTGTGGGCTCCATGGACCCACCCATTAGTTAGATATTGGTCTTAGCCATGGCATAGTAACTTGGGTAACACATTGGCGTGACCTTTTGCATTTGTGACAAACCTCTTCCATTATTCCAAGCGGAAGACTTGCACAGCTGCCATATCCTGCTTCAGGGCATCGCTAGTATTATTTTGATTTAATAAACTGTAATCAAACTAAGACTGCAAAGGTCAAGTGAAGCTATTACAGAACTTTTCTGATTGCTTTTTAAAAATACGAATGCAAGAAAAATGTTTCATGCCTAAACTGTGGAGTCTTACACCTTAAGTGCATTTTGTCCCATCTTTGGGTAGCCTTCAAAGGCTATTTTGTGTACATTTTCATCAGATGGAACAATATGAATAAGAGCTTTCTAGACTGTATATAGAAATTGAGTGTTGCCTTTAAGTTGCTGATGCATTTGGCTCATCTTCAGGGTCTTTTGGTGTATGAGAAGCTGCTGCAATACTTTTATGCTGTATCTTACCATTCTGACACATTTTCTGTCCTCAAACAGTGGAAAATTATGAGTTCTTTGGGGGTTTGATTTAGATTCCTACTGTAGGAACGGTAAATTAAACTCTTCCCAGATGATTCAATATGAACTTTGATTAATTTTGACAGTGCTGGGGTATCTTTTGGGGTGTTTTTTTCTTTTTGTTCCACTTCCCATCGTGAACACCTTTCTTTACTAGGTTAAGGAAACTGAAGTGGAGTGTAAGAGAAGCAGTGACTGCTTTTGGGACAAGAGTTAGCTTAATTATAAAAAATACCTTGTGTTTTTTAAATATGTTAAAACTTGCAACAATGTAATAGCATGAATACCTGTACCGAAAGATTTTTTTTTTTAAGGGCAGGATGGTGTTTATAACATGTTAATACAATGCCTAGCATACTGAGGCTAGGCCCTCTGGGCACTACCATCATACAGATACTATCTGTAATATATGTAAGAAGGAGGAGGGTTTTTGTTGTTTTGGGTGGGTTTTTTTGAACATTTGTGTAATTCTGTAAATTATGTTAATTTTAATTTTAGGTTTAATATGCCGTGCACTGCCTAGAGGTAGCCCACATGCTGAACTGAAAGAGAGAACAGTGTTGTCTGGCTCTATAATGCAAGGTAAAGTATTGCAAGTTTAGAAGGCAAGTGTTAATTACTTCTTCAAAAATCTGAATTTCTGAACCTTAAAACTGTTGTTAACAATGGCAGCTGTGTTAAAGGTGGAGCTTATTTTATTAAACATGTTTTCAGAGCATAAATCAACAGCTTTCTGATACACTGTATACAAAGCTAGTGTGTAAACATAACATTTTATTTCTTTTTGGAAAATAGACTTTTAAAAATATGAATACTTGGTAATTGGCACTTTTTTTTTAATGGACCCTCACAATTCCCCAGACCTCTGAAGATACATGCTCTTTCATTTATTTTAGTATCTGAAATAACTTGGGATGCTTTCAGTATTATATTGAATATTTATTCAGAATTATTTTTGTGGTGATTTTTTTGTAGTCTTCAGAGTATGTTATTGTAGATGATGGCAAACCAAAGTGCCAGTATTATGACATGTAGTTAGTTACTCTGTTTATGACAAAAAAAAGATGTAGTAATTATTAATAACTGTAATGTGACTCACTCTTTCTATAAAAGGCACACCAAGAGCAACAACTGAAAGTTTTGAAGAAGGCTTGAAATACCCTAAACAGATTAAGAGAGAGTCACCTCCCATAAGGACATTTGAAGGAGCCATTACTAAGGGGAAACCGTATGATGGAGTCACTACTATAAAAGAAATGGGTCGTTCCATCCATGAAATCCCAAGACAGGACCTATTAAGCCAGGAGAGTCGCAAGACTCCTGAAATGGTGCAGACAACCAGGCCAATCATAGAAGGCTCCATATCTCAGGTAAATACAAAAAGCACTACTAGACTCATACGGCTGCTTACAGGCTCAGTAGTAAATCAACTCAGGATATTTGAATAATCACAAATGGGGCAGGGGGTGTTTAGTTTTAGGAAAGCTACCAGCTTACAAAGCTTAAAAATATTTTCTGTGTATTAGAAAAATCCTGACACTTCACTTGTAGGGAACACACTTCCAAGCAAACGTGAGAGAACTGACAAGTAACAGTCACTAAGATCCAGTTGCATTCTGTGCTAACGTGACAGAAGTGATGAACTACGATGTCAGCAGTGTGAGTTTTTTAGCACGAGTGAAACATTGGTGGGATAACCTTACCTGATCTTTTTCTCATTTTCAGGGCACACCCATAAAATATGAAAGCAACTCTGGCCAGTCTGCCATCAAACACAATGTAAAATCTTTAATTACTGGACCAAGCAAGCTACCCCGTGGAATGCCTCAGCTGGAAATGGTGCCAGAAAACGTGAAGGTGGTGGAGCGAGGAAAATATGAAGATGTGAAGACCGGGGATGCAGTCCGTTCCCGTCACACGTCAGTAGTCAGCTCTGGTCCCTCTGTTCTCAGGTCAACTCTTCATGAAACTCCCAAATCACAGCTGAGCCCTGGGATTTATGATGATACCAATGCTCGGAGGACACCTGTGAACTATCAGAGTCCAATGTCCAGGAGTTCACCTATGATGAATAGAGTTAGTGAGGGTATGTTATTCCTATCCAGAGTAAGACAAGAAGTTTTAATAATTTAATATGAAACTTATTTTTAACCTGGTTTCTGTAATCCATTCTACTTTCTTTTATTCTAATGGCTTGGGTCAATTTGGAGGGAGGCTAGAAGGAATTTTAGAAGGCTGTAAGCTGTTAATTGAAATAAGAAAATGAAAATCTGCCATATTGTAACATGGAGGTGGGAAGGCAATTCAGTCTCAATTTGCATTTGATTATGGAGCACACTGAAAGTGTCACCTACAAGGGTAATGTTTTAAGGGCAGAAGCTGTTCCTGGATTATAGAGGTGTCTAGATAAGGAAGATAATATGGCAAAGTGTAAGCAATCTTAGTTTTAGGATTTAGATTTTCCACCAGAAATAGTTTGTGATATAAAATATTCTCTGTGATTTATTGTATCAGATCACAGGGTCCTCTGGAACATTTTTTGGGAGCCAGTGTATACTTACAGCTGAACTTTCTGTTGAAAAATATGCATTTCATTAAGTTGGGGTTTTCATTGGTTTTAGCTGGAATATCTTCTGGGAAGCCAGCAAATCACGAAAGGAAAAACACACTTACTCCAACACAGAGGGAAAGCGTGCCAGCAAAATCTCCAGTCCCAGGGGTTGATCCTGTAGTGACTCACAGTCCTTTTGACCCTCATCACAGAGGAGCAACTCCTGAAGTCTACAGGAGTCACCTCCCTCCTCATTTAGATCCTGCTATGCCATTTCACAGGGCTCTGGATCCTGGTAAATACATTTGTATTGTTTTTTTCAGTTTTAGAAATAGTGTATGCTTTGATACGCAGAAAAGGTACCTTTAAAAGGCAGTTATCAATGGCCAGATACAGTTTACAAGAGGTAAAATATGTACAGTGTTGTGGTTTGATTTCAGTTTGGGGTGGGGTTAATATCTAACCAGGAAACTTATTAAAATATTATTGTATAATACTGTAACTTTCTTTAAGAAGCTGCCAGGTTGCTTCTGTTTTGTTACAGTTCAGGCAATATTTTTAGATAAGTATTTGTGAAATATATTAAAAGCTTTCAGGAAAGCTGTGCAAAGAGGATGTGGAAGATGCTGTAGAGTTAAAGCGTAATCAGGACCCCTCTGTTCAGGACTGTGATTCATTCTCACTGAGGGATTATCAGGTTACCCCTGGTGATATTAAATAAAGTAGACTTCCTTTTAACCTATCCATCAGTCCACTTCTGTGAGGTATTTTAACCTTCTTTAGGTATTTCAGCCCTTTACGTCTTCAGAACTTCAGGATTTATATTTCTAATCAAGTCTCTTCTCTAATGCGTATCTCCAGTCTGGATTATTTAGCTTTTTCTGTCTGCATACAGTGCATAAATTCACTAAAACATCAATATTAAAATGCTGTTTTAATTCATTTGGCACTGACTAGAGAGAATTGATAGCACTTCTCATTGAAGCTCTATAAATACCTGAAACTTTCAGTCAATAATCACCTGTACTGCTTCCTAAATCTTCTTTTTTCCTCCCCCCTCACCCTCAGCTGCTGCTGCTTACCTGTTCCAAAGGCAGCTCTCACCCACCCCAGGCTACCCAAGTCAGTATCAGCTTTATGCAATGGAGAATACACGACAGACAATCCTAAATGACTACATTACCTCACAGCAGATGCAAGTCAATTTACGTCCTGATGTAACAAGAGGATTATCTCCTAGAGAGCAAACTTTAGCTCTCCCGTATGCAGGAGCAAGAGGTATGCCTGCATTTTTTCTGATGTTCTTTGAAGTGTTTTGGATATGCAGTGTGGTTTGGTTGGTTGGTTTGATTGTTTTGTTGCTGAGTATAAATATATGTCTTTGGATGGATGGATGCCTACAAGTACACATGTATAGATGTGTTTGCAAATGAATTGTCATACATCTAACTGGTTTATGTGGATATAAAGGAAGATGGCGTATGTAATCAATGTTGTTAAAGAGGAGACTGTAAGACTTACTAGTGTTCAAGAAACAGGACTTACGCTAGTTTAAATTGGTATTCAGAAGCATATTTAATTCATCTTTAAACTTCAGAAAAGAGAAATATCAAAATGAGAGCTTCTTCAAAATGACATTAAAAGCAACAGCTAAAAGGGTAAGGTTTGTGAAAAACATGGTGATATTTTAAAAATGTTATGTTAGAGAGTTAGCAAATATGTGTGACCTGTTGCAGGGTGGGGAAAAGCCTAAATCAGCCTGGATGTTTAACAGCAGCAGGAAGGAGCTATTAAAAGTAAAAAGACATCTTGCAGAATTGTTACTCCTCAAACAGAGAAAATGGAAATTGTGACAAGTTTAACGTAAGACCATAAAGGTCAAAAAAACTGAGGAACAATTTGTAAAGCCAAATGAACAAGTAACTTCTTCAGATACACCAGAAGCAAGAAACTTTGCAAAGAAACTGTAGGAACTGATAAATCTTCAAAACTCCGAACTAATGCTTTAGAAGATAAGGCCGTCACAAAAAAAGCAAAGCAATTTCTTTGCAATTCTGTTCACTGTGGAGAGATTTATATTTCTGTGATGGAGATTTTCTTTATGGGACATGAATTTGAAGAACTGTTTCACATTGAAATGTTGAGCAAAGTCTTAGAACAAAGTAATAAAGTGAATAGTTATATATTCTTGGGCTTACATGGCATTCTCCCAGGAGCTACAAACCTAGCAGGAAATAGTCAATCTAGCAGCTTGGTTACTGGGTGTGATAATCTGTCTATTGCTTAAACTGATTTTGACAGTTATTGGTAGAATGGAAGATAGCAAATGTGAGGGCATTAGGCTGGTAGGACTAATTATCCTGGGGATAAGATATAAGATGTGTTTTAATTGGTTGGAAAAGAAAGGATAAGTGTTTTTTGTAGTATGGGAAGTTATAGTGGAGTTCCAGTGGGACCTGTACACTTCAACATTTCAATTCATTTTATGAATGTAAAAGGTCTGGAAAAGAGAGTGAATGATGTCGAGTAATACCATTTTGCTAAAAGATGAGATTATTGAGCAGAGGTGAAGTGTATTTTTGCAAAGGGCAGTTAAAGGGAGTGCTAGAAATGCAAATTCTGACTTAGTATGTTCCTAAATTGCTCATTGCCAGATCTAAGAGAGTATAAACAGCTGGAATATAGTTCTGCACTTGCTTTATTCTTGTATTTTTTCCACTAAACATTCACTGTTGACCATTATCAATGAACAGAATATATAATGTGTGGACCATTGGTCCGTCCTTATGTGTGTCATCTCCTAACAGGAATTATTGACCTGAACAATATGGCTCCCACTATCTTAGTGCCTCATCCTGGAGGAACAAGCACACCACCCATGGAGAGAATCACTTATATCCCTGGTACCCAGCTTACATTCCCTCCCAGGCCTTACAATCCTGCTTCTCTGTCACCAGGTAAGAACTCTTATGATTTGGTGATGTCTCCAATCACCTGACATGCTGAGATAATTGACCATCTTTATTTAGCTTTCATTAATATCATGTTTTGGTGTTTTCTCAGGTGATTTCTGCATGCACTTCTCACTTGGATAGCAAAAGTTTTCTTAATTATAGCCTTTATAGTTACATTAGCAGCTGAAGGAGCGCACTGGCAAATTCAGAATTTGCCTGGTTCTGTCATGTCTTCATTTATAGTCATTTGATTATAATTTCACTAACCTCATATTACTGTGTTGAAGGGTGGAATTTGTGTCTATAAGCTGTCCAGTTTCTAACTGTATGGAAACTACTTTAGTAAAAAGCTGTTGAGCCTTCCACTCTCACTGTATGTTAAGCTTTCGTCTTCCTAGATAAGTAGGTAGTCTTGAGTGGAAAGAAAATCTTTTGGGGAAATTTTGCTGTAAGTGGATGGCAGAATATATTGGCAAGTGTTTACATCAAAGTATGCTTAACTTGAGCATCTCTTTTTACTACTTCATTTTATCTTGTGGACCTTTCAGGACACCCTACACACCTGGCAGCTTCTGCAGCTGCAAATGCTGAAAGGGAACGGGAAAGGGAGAGGGAGAAGGAACGGGAAAGGGAGAGGGAACGTGAGCGAGAGCGAGAAAGAGAACGAGAAAGAGAGAGGGAGAGAATAGGAACTTTATCTTCGACCAGGTGAGTGCTCGTTGCTACATTTGGATCAGTTGTCATGTAGACTGTAACTACTCGTTTTCTGTAGCCCCTGTTAGCGACGTGCAGCTTGTTAACAACGCATTACGCAGTTTGGTTTTAGTCTGTGCTTAGGGCAGGTTCCTGTTACCTAGCAGTTCTGGTCATAATTGCAACTTCTGCAAGTACCAGGCTTCTTGATCTTTCTCTCATAGCCACGTAGTACGTAGGGAATGGTGTGAATCCCAGTTATTGCTAGCACAACTTGCATGTCATTTAGAGCATTGTAAACAGAATGCCACCATCTAAACCTTTGATATGTACAGTCACATCTAGAGTGGTGGAGACAACTGGGAAAGAATGTGGAGGACACTTGCATTGATACATAGTTCTGCATTGTCATAAGAGTGATCAATTTTTTTTGTTTGTTTATTCCCTTCCATTCTATGTTCTGCAGGTACAGAGCAGCCTGGCAGACCTGGCAGTCATGGATATGTTCGATCCCCATCCCCTTCAGTTAGAAGCCAGGAAAACATTCTGCAGCAAAGGCCCAGTATTTTTCAAGGAACCAACGGGACAAGTGTAATCACACCTTTGGATCCTGCTGCTCAGCTACGTATCATGTATGTTTTATAAGTTACTGTTGCAGAGGTATCTGTTCTAATATTTGAGCTTATTAAAAGGTGCATTTAGCCCAAGGAAAATACTATAAGATGAGGATATACCACTATCTGATTGTTCTTGGGTTTATTGGAAATGATCCGATACATTTTCACCAGTCCAATTCGGATAGAAATTAGTGTCACAAAGCTTTGCTTTGTTGTATGCATGATATGGCTCTAGTTCTTTTTTTCATGTGATATAATTCAGAATATTCAATGTTTGCCAACAGGCAGCTCACCCCTGGAGCTCCCTCTATTACTCAAGGTTTGCCAGCTTCCCGTTACAATACTGCTGCTGATGCCCTTGCAGCACTAGTAGATGCTGCAGCCTCTGCTCCTCAGATGGAAGTTGCCAAAGCAAAAGAGAACAAGCACGAAGGAACCAGGATAGAAGAGAATATGGGACGCCGGTCAGCTGTGGTTACTGAACAGCAGCAGATGGAACAGAAGACACTGGAGGTAGAAAAGAGGCCAGTCCAGTGCCCCTATACATCTGCAAATTTTTCTGGTGGCAAGTCCCAGGGACAGTCTTCATCAGTAGTCTATTCAGAGGCTGGTAAAGAGAAAGGACCTCCTCCTAAATCCAGGTACGAGGAAGAGCTGAGAACTCGAGGAAAGACCACAATTACTGCTGCTAACTTCATAGATGTGATCATCACTCGGCAGATTGCTTCAGACAAGGATGCACGAGATAGGGGCTCTCAAAGTTCAGATTCTTCCAGTAGTTGTACGTATCTTAGTAACTATCTACTTCTTTGCTGTCTGTCTTAGCCTTTTAGGGAAATAATAAGATGTGAAATGATTCTGATGTTTAATGATGAAATATTCAGCTCTGCACAGTAGAAACACTTCATAGACAAATACAGCTTTTGCATATAGTGACTGAAGATTCTTGCAAAATTGGAGTTGTTTGCTTTATTCAGGTTCCATGCTACAACATGAAATGCAGGATAATAAGACTAACCTTATCAGAAGTCAGTAAACCTAAAATTATCTGTTTTACAATGGAACACTGTTTTGTGGAAGTATTTCTATCACCATAGTTATCATGAGAAAAAGACAGTGTTTTGACTTTCTTTTCACTGGTGTCATAGTGCTACTGTTGCTATGTATAGGCAGCAAAAATTTTCTGTGATATTTACACCTTTTTCCACAACCTTTGCTTAATATTCAGTATCCTCCCACCGGTATGAAGCTCCTGGTGATGCCATTGAGGTGATTAGCCCTGCAAATTCACCTGTACCTACTCAAGAAAAGCTACAGCCCTATCAACAAGAGACACCTAAACCAAGCCAGGCAGAGAGTAAGTTTATCTGCATATGCAAATACTCTCACAATTATCTTGCTTATATTTATCAGCACCATGAACTCATAATAAAGTTAAAATATCTTTTAAGTGTCTGCTTAAGAGTGTCTTTAAGTGACTGCTTACCACATTCTTAACTTTGCAGAAAATTTTGTTGGAAGTATGTTACTGCAGTGATCTGTGGAAAGACTGGGGTAAATGTACTGGAACTGACACTTGGCATTAAACAGAGCTCATTTACATTACAGCATAGCTGATTTAATAAGAAATTTATTTTCAATATATTCTTTAAAATTACTCCATATTGGTGTTGATGCCCACAATTTTTTTACCTATTAGTAAAGCTCAAACTATTACCGTACAGTTTGCAGGTGAGAAATGAGCTGAAATTTGCCTGCATTGTGGAATGAAGCTTTATTTGCCTATACTAAACTGTAGGGCCTGTATATGAAGGGGGAAACAGTGATTGTCACACAGGATACCTAAAATCTAATGCAGAAACACCTGATCTTTTAAATTTGTAAGCACAGAACTTTCAAACCTTGAAGCTTCAGTGATACCATCTTAACAGACTGACCTTTTCTTCTTCAACTAGATGACCCAAACAGGCAATATGAGGGGCCGATTCACCGCTATAGGACACAACAGGAACCCCCTTCACCCCAACAACCTCCACCTCCCTCTTCCCAAGCAGAAGGGATGGCACATGTGCCCAGGACCCATCGACTTATCACCCTTGCTGATCACATCTGTGTAGGTTTATTTGCATGCATCTTTTCAGATGTGAAAAGTTATATTTGACATGAAAACACATGTTTTAGAACATAATACCAATTATGTAATTACTAGTTTTACTTGAGGATATCATACAATAATGTGTCTGAACTTACAATTCTCTCATTTGTTGCAATCGGTCTTACATTCATCTAGTTCATGAGTACATACGCTCTGGCCAATGCCTGACCAAGATCTCTTTCCTATTTTTTTTTTTTTTTCGCCACAATCAGCAAATTATTACACAAGACTTTGCTAGAAACCAAGCAGCTTCTCAGGCGTCTTTGCAGCCTCCCACCACTACATTCCAGAATTCCACCCCTGCTCCAACACCTGTTTCTACCCGGGCAAAGACATCAAATCGCTACAGCCCTGAGTCCCAGTCGCAGTCTGTCCACCATCAGCGGCCAGGTGCTAGAGTGTCACCTGAAAATCTGTCTGACAAGTCCAGGGGAAGGTAATGCATGTATTCAGTTTAACTGCAAATTTCATTAATGCCTAAATGTGATACTTCTAAAAAAATAGCTCAGTAATCTTGATGTGGATCAGAAGTAGGGGTATCTTTTGGTCTTTTTTTAGGCAATGTTTGTCTTGCACTGATTTTGACAATTGCTTGGCTCTATAACATAGCTTATAACTGTTTTCCCTTCACTTTTTATGCTTAATTTCCAGTTTTTAGAGACATGAAGATTTTTAATTACATAGAATTTATCAGAGTCATTATGGACAATTCAAAGTCATCTTTTTGAGATGGCCAAGCATACTAAAGCATGTGACATATATAACTAGACATAAGTAGTTATGTAACCACTGGAATGCAATTACATGTGTTAACTACTGCTTTACATGCATTAAGAGTACTTACCTGTCTCTGAATTATGGATGTAGACCTGGAAAATCTCCAGAGAGGAGTCATGTCTCTTCAGAGCCCTATGAGCCAATATCACCACCTCAGGTCCCGGTTGTGCATGAGAAACAGGAAAATGTTCTTTTGCTTTCCCAAAGAACTGAGCCTACTGAACAGAGGTATGTGTAACACTGAATTTTAAAAACGTTATTCTGGATCTTTGTGCTGCAAACAGTATCTTTATTATAAGCGACCTTCCTCTGGTACCACAGGCAAGTTGTTAATCAATGTTGATCCTTTTGCACTAGCATTCAAAACTTGCTACTTGGAAGATGCTTTGGGAAGCCTGAGTGAAACGTCATCTGTACATATTCTGTTTTAAGTTTCTTGGTGCAAGCAGTGTGTTCTATGTCATGTCTGATAGAAAACATTATAACAAAATTCCTTGTGGATGCCAGTTTATAGAAACTGAATTGTTTTTTGGGAAAGGTCCATTTTCTACAACTTTTACCAAATAATTCAGGCTTCTCCTGTCTGATCGGCTTCCTGGATACTGTCCTGGTGAAGTACAAAGGAACCCAGACTTCCAACACTCATGGTTCTAGAGTGGCTTATCACATGAAATGTCACTAAGCTAAGAAGCTTAATTTCTAGGAGGTGTGAAGATGAGGTGTCAGGAGGTCCATGCATGACGCAGCCCTGTTTCCCAGGGCTATTTGTCAGCCTGCCAGATCTGCAACATAAAACTACACGGAATCTCTGGCAGACTGTGTCACTGCTGGTGTCTTCAAACGTCTGGCAGATGCACATTGGAATGGATGCTTCTGTCATTTGCTTTGCTGCCTGCTGAAGAAGGAATAGCACCCAACATGCTCACCATTTACTTGTTTAAGGTTCATCCTGGTGAAATTGATTCTTTTTTTCTTGTATTTTTTTCCCCCTCCATGCTACAGTTACTGGTAGGCTTGTTACAGTCCATGATGGATGTTAGCTAGATGGGAAGGGATTTTCAGGAGCATGGCAGGGAAGATTGCACTTTTTAGAATTTTAAGGATCTTGGCCTAGGAAACCCAGAGTCCTTGTCCTTTTTTACTTTATTTTTAGTTGTTTTTTTTTTAATTTAAATACGGGGTGTGTTTTGGGGTTTTTTGTTTTGTTTTAAACTAAAGCTGATCGCCAGATTGCTGCTGCTTAAACAAACTCAAGTATTATAAGCGCCACAGTGAACATACAGCTGATGATTTTTATCCACTTTTGAAGACAGTGCAAGTTGTTCATGACCCTCGTACTAGCTTAGATTTTTCACCTGAATTTCTTCATGCTTTAAGTTTTGGGGGATTTTTTCCTTAAAATTCTGTAATTGGAATACTACTGCTTTTATCATCTTTATAAACAGCCTAAAATTTGCATATTTTAAGATCTGAAGAATAAAATGCACCCCATGTCAGTTTGACATTTACTTCAGCAATGTTTTTTAGGCTAATGTGACAGAAATCATGTGCAGAAAGTTTACCAGCTACTGTGAATGTAAAATTGCTAAGGGGTATGAAATAACAGAATGTGGATCCCGGTCTGAATTTGTACCATAGAGCAAGGGTGGCTAACTGGCAGCTCTTGAGCCAGATTCCGGTCCATAAGGTTATTTTACCTAGTTTCTAAGAATGCATGAAATAGCTTATTTACCTGGACCATGTGCGACAGGGTGCATGAGCAGACTTAAAAATAAATACATGCTTTTTAGTGGCATACTGGGGACAAGAGCGAGAAGACAACTGTAAATAGGAGGAGCACCTAGATGACTATTTGGGCTTCTAGCTTAAACATTTCATCACCTACTGATTTGCAGTGCAAACTTCAGCCAGCATGCAGGTTGCAAGGCAGAAGTAGGCATCCCTGAGATAATTTGTAAGAGTATCATCTCTGTGCCACTCTCCAGCACAGACAATGACATTGTCACTTTTTCTGTGAGCTGTAGAATATTAAACCCTGTTACTTGGATAAAGCAGACTTTCCTGGAGAGTCATTAGACTTGTCTAGTCCCCAAAAAACAGGCTGAGGAAAGAGTCTTAAATTTCATATGAATGTTGCTGGTTTCTACCTGACTGCTTTTGGAAAGATTTAAATGTACATCTTGAAAAATGTTCTCTCTCTTTGACACATGTTGGTCTTGGCAGGACTGACTCTCGCTCTCCGGGTAGTATAAGCTACTTGCCTTCATTTTTCACCAAACTTGAGAACACTTCGCCAATGGTAAAATCCAAGAAACAGGAGATATTTCGAAAGCTGAACTCATCTGGTGGAGGTGACTCTGACATGGGTATGCAGCACTTGCCTTTTCACTGAATTTTTCCAGCTTAAGCTGTACATGACTGCCATCCACAGATGACCTAGCCTAAATATATTCCAAATAACATATGAATGAGTATAAATCTTGTGAATATAAAGCACATATAGAATAAATTATGGCCAAAGAACTGGAAGATTGTTAGATTCCCCCCCTCTCCCTTGTTTTTTTTTTTCTTTTTTTTAATGCTGGTAGGACATTTAAGCTTTTAAACACTTAATTTGAGAGATGGAAATGGTTTCTGAAAACCATGGAAAAAACACGTAATTAATGAGAGAGTTGTTAAAACCTGACATTATCCTAGTTAACCTTGTGTCTGTAGTTTGCTTCGTGTCAACAGTAACTGTTACATTATTTTCCTATTTGCCTTTATTTTCAAGGTGTCTTGAAACTGAATGTTTTGTGTTTTCTTGGCCCTTATGATTATGGCTGTTAAAAAGACATTTTAATATAGTTTCAGTAATGGATACTGACATGATGGAATATGATACTAGAACTGTATTTTTGTTTTTCTCTTAGAAACCTTAACAGAATTTTGTATCAAAATTATCAGTAGTGAGAGTTTAAGCTGTTTGTCAACTTGGTGCCTAATAGAGAGTGTTTATTTGAAAGTGAATGCTCTTGCATTAAACAGCACACTAATCTCATTCTGAGAAACAAGGCTGTGTCAGTAAGGGTTGCAGTATTCTTTTTTTTTTTTTTGGATCCCCATTGTAAACATGATAGATTTTGCTCTGTTGAAAACTTCATGTGCATGCTTGGCATACAAGGACACTTTCTGTCGCTGCCAATAGTCTTTTCATTTATATATTGAATTTAGTGTTATGGTTTAAAATCTTTATTCTCAAATTGGACATACTATCGGTAATGTGGGGGAGGAGGTGGTTTAGCCACTCCAAAGTTATTGCCATTTATTTTTTTAATACATACAAACACTCAGTCTGTAAGGTTCATATGTTAAAATTTGTGTTTAGCAAATCAAATGCAGCTTTGCATTTTAAAATACGTAGATTGTCAAATTTCTAAAAGTCAATCTGCTTCTTGTAGAAGATGATCTTTAAAAGAAGGCTAGCCATGACCATGTAAGATACTTTTACCCTGATATAGATCATTTTACTGAGAAGACAGAGATGCACATTCCTCTTAGAAGACTGAGAAAGTTCAAAAGTAATACCCTGTGCATTAGGACTAGTAGTGATCATTTATAATGATCATCAGTACTGGAAAACTCAATTAAACGTTGTGTTTTAATTGCAGCAACTGCTCAGCCAGGGACTGAAATATTCAATTTGCCAGCAGTCACTACCTCAGGTAAGTTTTTCAGTAAAAGAAACAACATAGTTTCAGAAAAAAGAAAACTAATGTAGTATCTTTCACTTATATGCTTTGGGAAATCCAGTAAATGAGGAAGATGATGAAAATTTAGAAGGTAATATCCTACATGAAAATTTGTTTCCTGTATCATAGGGAAAAGCACAATGACCAAAGGAAGTTTCAGAAAATATTTGAATGGGAACTTCAGCAAGAATGATTTATTTCTGTGTGCTCTGCAAATCCTACACAGAGGTAGCAGTCAGGAAATTGGTTAGCATCTCACTTAAATAGAATTTAAATATAGTGTAGTTCAACAAAACTTGAGCTTAGTTTATCAAATGCAAATTAGTTTATAAACTGAAGTATTTAAAATACTTACGGATTTATTTTTTTTCCTATGATAAATACGTAATAAAACCCACCAACTTTCTATGAGACAAGGAAATTAAATATAACACATACTTTTACTGTGTTAGAGACAAGTGAGACAGAGAATTGAGCTGAAATGAGGGAGATAAGAACTGCTGTATCTGAATCTTGAGTTGTACCACAGATTGACTTTACATGATTTTGGCCAGTCGCTGCCCCTTATGGTACAGTGCTTCTGTCTTTTAAATGGAGAAAGTACTGATCTCCATTAATTTAGATGGAGCACAAGCTTTTAGAATAAATATTTGCCATGTATCAGAGTTCATAAGACAAATTAGTATGGGTTATTAATGAAAGACGTATTACTCTGGTCTCATCTCTTACAACTGTGAATAACAGCTGCAGATTTTACTTAATATGCTATCACAATCAGCATGCTCAGCTTCTTTGCTATTTAAAAAAAAAAAAGAAAAGAAAACAAACAGTAAAATTTACCCTCTTGCAGAGAGTCTGACATTCAGTGGCACTACTGATGTGGCTCTTCAGTGTTTGCTGGCATGTCTGACTTGTAGCCACTGTGAGCTGCTTTCGAGCATGTAGCTTTGCACTTAAAAAACCCTCATCTTTGTTTTTTCCCCCACCTTTCTGCCTCTCTAAAATCTTTCCCCATATCCCTTTGTAATTTCTCTGAGATATGTTTTTTGCCTCCCCTACCACCTTTCCCTGTATGTTTTCTTTTATCTCCCAGGTGCAGTCAGTTCTAGGGGTCATTCCTTTGCAGATCCTGCCAGTAATCTGGGTCTGGAAGACATTATTAGGAAAGCATTGATGGGAAACTTTGATGACAAGAGTGAGGAGCATGGAGTTGTAATGTCACAATCTATTGCGGTAGCACCTGGCAGTTCCAGTGCTGCAGTATCAGCAAGTAATGAGACACGTAGGGAAGAAGCTAATCCATCACCAAATTCAGGTGAGGTATTGCAACTCCTAAATATTTCATAATCTTAAAGAAAAAAAAATAAGAGTTTGAATAAACTTCGTGTCACTGAAAATCACTGTCTTTCCTCTGGAAGTGATAGAGCTGGTGTTTCCATTCCCTGTATTGTTCCTGGCTTTCAAAATGGTGCTGGTGACTTCAGGAGCATTAGCTAGTATTTCTTGGAGAATGACAACACTGATGAAACAGCGAAGAACTAACAGGGTGTATTAGATACCTGAAGCTTTACCTGAAGCTTCTCAGGGGTTTGATGGAAACACATGTGTAGTACATCACCTATAAGAAACACGTGACAGTGGGAGCTAGCTTGAACTGAAAACATCTCCCTTCCTAAAAATGGAAATTATAACTCCATTGTGATAAGCATAGGGATTTTCTAGCAATACTGTGTTAGAAGACTAGCGTATGTGGTCGCTAATTGTAGTAAATCAGCATTCCAGAAGACAGCAGTGTGAAACTCCTGTTTGCTGCTACCTGATAATTTACAGAAACAAACATACAGAGGCTAAAATGCAGTGTAGCATTTTTGTAAAATCTGTCCCTTCTATTTCCAGGAGGGGGAGTCAGCAAGCAGAAGCTCATCAGCAAGTCGAATAGTAGGAAGTCTAAGTCTCCAATTCCTGGACAGGGATATTTGGGAACCGAAAGACCTTCTTCTGTTTCATCTGTACATTCAGAAGGGGACTACCACAGACAGACTCCAGTGTGGGCCTGGGAAGATAGGCCTTCATCAACAGGTGAGAGATGGGTTTCTTTCAAGGTTAACAAACCAGATGTGGCATTTGTGGAAAGGTCAGATGTAGACATACTGTAACACTGGTATATTGGTCAAAAGTTTACAGCATATGAGGATATTCTGAAACAGATTTTCTGCTAGTTGTCACAACCAAAACCAGACTATCTTTCAGATACAGATCTCTTAGAACAGCTCACATTTTTGACTTGGAGAAACTCTCTTTGATTCAGGTTCAACACAGTTTCCGTACAACCCGTTGACGATGAGGATGCTCAGCAGTACACCGCCAACATCCATTGCGTGTGCCCCACCGTCCATGAGCCAAGCAACCACTCACCAACAGAACAGGATATGGGAGCGAGAGCCTGCACCACTGCTTTCAGCACAATATGAGACTCTGTCTGACAGTGACGACTGAACTATGCAGTTTTTTGGTTGTTTGTTTTTGTTTTGTTGGGTTTTTTTAATTTGCGGGTCAAAAAAAGAAATCTATTTTTGACTTGTGCCCATAGAGACTTTCCAAGAGAGCAAGGGCCACACAATGAAGAATTGATGGAGAATCCGTTAAATGCCTTCTGCACAGGCCATGTGTTGGAGGATTGTGATCAAGAAGGTTGACTTACTAAAGATAAATATGTAAAGAGTTTTTAAAAATGTGGACTATTCCTGTTCTACATCTATTTGTAAAGAAAACCATAATGTCTTTAAATCATTTTTCTGTAAATAGAGAGTACTTTTTGCAGTGTTTTTTCCCTTGCTATAGTATCTGGTGTACTTATGTTCAGATCATTGCCTAAACTTTGGGGGTCATTTTGTAACTTTTTTTTTTTTTTAAGCATTTTCTCCAGTGTAGAGTACTCTTCATAACCCTAGCCTCCCTACAAACCTAGCCTAACCATAACCCTAGCCTCCCAACCAGCCTAGCGTCATTGCCCATTTAATGCTGTGCCACTTCTTGCAGGCATTGTGCTTTTATATAATTTTTTTTCCCTAGACACACTTTCTCAGTGGTGTTCAAGCTCTTGTGAAAATGTTGATTTTTAAGACTGACCCCTTAATGAATTCTGTACATTAACATAGTCCGGTTCGCTGGAATAAGATGATATATTTCTTTGAATTTTAAATTCTGCCACATTGTAAATTTTTGGTGCAGTTGGTTTTATTTAGCAACACTGCAGAAATATTATTGCATGGGTATGTTATGGTTCATTTTTAAAAGGACAAAAAAAAAAAAAAGAACAGCTTCTGGAGGCATACCTCATTGTTATGCACACTGGGAATTTTAACTGTGCCCCAAAAGCCTATCTTAGTGTTCTCTGTTTCTGCATTGTATGCAGTCAAAACAGGCTACTAAATTTTACTGTCATATTTAACCACAGCAAATGGCTTATCTGAACAGAGGCTCTGGGTGGGTTGATAAATCCTTTAAGAAGAAAAACCTCTACATCCCAAGTTTAAATAAAGCAAAATGCTTTGATAGAATAATTGAGCAACACACGAGTCAACTACGTGGCTTCTGTTACAACCAGTTTGAAAAAGGTACTGTGATTTTTACCTTCCTGTGATCTGATTTTAAAATCTTTATGTAATAATTATTTTAAAGTTTGCATCCCCATCCCAATCCCTAGTCCTATAAGCAAGCTTTTGGTGGAAGTCCTTACAAATGCTTGGCTTAACTCCTAAAGTGTGCAATACTTGTTAGGGTGATTTTTATTTTTAAATTGTGTATGGTACTAGGAGGGTCTCCTTAATCATTCGTCTATCAATGCCTGCTATGATATGCTTGTAGCTCATGTATACGTACATCTGGTTAGTGGTATCATGAGGTGTCCTGACATCCATCTTCAAAAGCATCTTATTTTTTGCTGCACTGACCTCAGGAAGTGAATTTAAATCTTCCAGGGTAGAAGGACTGATTTACAGATAGCACTGAGTTGGGGGGTGGCATAGTCTGTCAGATTCCAAACTGCTTTTGCATCTCATTGATGAACAGAGTCTTTGCCTTGAAGTTATTTTCCAATCAAAATATTTTTAATTTAACACTGTATTTGCGATACATTGTATGGAAGGTATAATACAGCTCTGTAACCTTAAGCTGTGTAAGCTCTACATCTTATGGAAGGACTGCAATGGTCCAGTTACAAACAGGAAGAAGTACAGAACTATTTATCAATAACAAATTTACTTGGAGTACTTTAGAGGAAAGCCTTTTTGCCCTAAGTGTGGGAAAGAAAAAAAATCCAAAGGAACTCATTTGGAAACTTGACAGTGTGTTGCAAACACAGAATTATTTTGCTACTTTTTTTTAACACTGCATCAGAGTAGATCAGTTGGCAGGCTTAAATCTCCTCACGGTCTTTCTATAAGAAAGATTTTTCTCACCCTCCCATCCTTTACCCTTCTGGCTTAAAGTAGTGAAGTTTTCATCCTGTTTGTAGACCTGTGCTCTTAACTTTTTTGTTCCCACAGCAGCATATACTGGAAAACAAGTTGATCTGCCCTTTTTGTAGATTTAAATTTGGAGTGGAGAGTTAAGTTCCATTCTAAAATTCACTTGTTCTCACTTTCTTAGCGTAACAAAATACAACGTGAAAGAGGCATGTACAGACAAATGTCTTTGCTAACTGTACAGTAAGTATAGCATGTTCATTGCAAAGCTTCATGTTATTGCTGCTGCAGCAGCAAGATATCCAAAGTAGGATAGTCACTTTCTCCTGAGATACAGCTTGAGTGGCATTTGCACATAAACTGTTGCTGCTTTCTTTGTTTGTTACCCGAGTTCTAACTTCTCCAGTGTACAAACCTCTCCAGAGCCTAAGTTAGGGTTTACCACAATTCCAGTAATCTTCAAGAATGGACTTACATCTGACCTGTTTCAAACAGGAAGGTGTTTGTAAATCATGTTTACAAAGTGTAGTTTACAACAAATTTTTAACTGATTTCTGATCAGCGCTTTCACAATGCTTTCATCTTGATATGTTTCGTGATTCTGATATGAAATCATTTAAGACTTGAAAAAACCCATGCATCATAAAACTCGACTTTTTTTTTTTTTTTCACACAATGTCTTCAGTAGACAGTGACTTCTGGATTCAGACCAATCAATAAAGGGGATCAGTTCTCCATTTGCTTTTCTTGTGTCTCCCTCTTGTTTTGCAGCATCAAGCTATGTTCATGAGAACAGGCAAAACACTTCCCTTAGGGGGTGCTGCAGGGTTCCCGGTTAACACCAAAACCCAGAACTTTAAAGATGTTTCAAGCCTTTCTGTTAGTACAAGCATGCTTGTAGCAGCCGGATTTTTACTTCCTAACTTGCTGACAACAAAGCTGTACATGTGACCTAAGTTTTTCCAGCTTCAGTGAACATCTACTTTAGAAAACCTGCGTGCCTCTTAGCTCAAAGTTAAGCAGAGCTGAAGCCACTAATGCTACTGTAAGTAAACTAATAACGATGCAATTAACATTAAGGGTTGTACCAACCAGCTGAAGTTCTTACAAACAAGAGGCTGAAATAATGCATGGTTAGTGGCAGAATTACAGTTAGTTCTACTATCCTAGCTAAATATAGATTTGATAGCTTCTGGTTTAATTCTTGTCTTTAACGTTAGGCTTCCCTGCAGGGCAGAACTGAAAAATTCTGTTGTATAAGCAGGTTGTTCATACTAGATTCACGTGAAGAGATGTAGTTTACAAACCCAAGAGCTTGTGCACACCATCTTTTCCAACAGGAAGCCTCAGCATTCTAGCACTGACCTATTCAAGAAAAGAGGACAGCTTTGGCACTCGGTGTGCTCGTGACTGGGGTAAGGTAGCAGAGTGTTTTGTTTCTGACAACAGCTCTGTTCTGGTAACATAGTCTCACCCCTCCTCTGAGAGGGCATGCTCTATCTTTGGATGCTAAATGCTGTGAAGAAAAACACTTGATCTTCAGGCAACCTGTCCGAAAAGGACATAGAGCTACAGCTCTGTCATAGTACAGGTATAGTCTGGGAAATGCTCTGTTGAAGTTAACACACACTGAACTGTAGCCCTGACAGAAGTACAGCCTGTTGTGCTAGCCAGTACATAAAGAGTGAGACAATTCCTGCCTGTTCTCTTTTTCATTACTTTTTCATAGCTTTAGTATAGCCATGTTTTGAAACTGAATACTTCTGTGAACAGTCAGGAGTAGCAGATGACTACTCCTTGACTTAACTGCAAGTACTAATAAATACCAGGCTAGACTTGCACTCTGCTGGCAGTCAAGACAAAGTTAAATCACTAGCACAGCAGGTCACGCTAACCATAGACTACACCACAAATTTACATAGTTAAGATTTCACAACTTTATTTTGGGCTAAGTTGTTAGGCAATAGCAGCCCTCCTTGTTAAGCAGTCCTTAAACTCCTCATTGCTGTTCCCCTGGAGAATTGCACCAAACTGGTCTCAGGCCGCTTGCACTGCCCAACCCTCATTGTTAGCCACCTCAAGGTTGGACTCCGTGCCCAAACTTATTTGGACCCCTTTCTCCTCTTGGCCAGCTCAGCTAGTTCTTCTTGGATATGCTGGACAGAAGCAGTATCTCCCTTCTGTTGTGCCTGCTTGAGAGCTTCTTTGTACACTTGTTTTGCTTGCAGAAAGTCTTCTGTAGCAAGAGGAAAAAGGGGCATGGCTAGCCCATTATGTCACCTGTTTTCAGAGTCCCCTCCTGAAGCTGACCACATGCAAAGGACAAGCAAGGACTACTTGGAACACATAAAGAACCAGGGAGATTCAGAAAACATCCAGCATACGGTGCCAACTGCAATACAGGTATCCGCAGTCAACACAAGCACAGTGACATAGGCTGGACACTTATTTACCTACCTTTGTGCATCAGAATTGCTGCCAGGTTATTCAGCACCATGTGCTCCTCAGGGTGTTGAGTCTCCTTTGCCAGCTCAGCTGCCCTCTTCACGTAAGAGTGTGCTTCATCGTAATGCCCCTGAGCATCCAGCACAGTTGCCAAGTCATTCATCAGGACCACAGTCTGCACCAGGACAGAAATGGAAGCCTCAGAGCAAGACTCATGTAGAAGTCTGGGGCAGCAGGAGCACATATTCATACCCCTGTCACACTAGTAAAAGTAGTATTTCCCAGAGAAGCTTTCAGTAAGAAAGTGTCTTGTATTTATATATCAGCATGCTGCACGCTCGTTATTCCTGGCAGGAAAACAGAACCTAATTTAAGGCTGTGTATATTTGATGCCAGCAAAGCTTTTAAAGCTGCCTCATTCCCTAGGAGATTATTTTAGTACTCCAACTACCATTGTACACATCACCTGTGGATGAGTCTCTCCCTGAACATCATTTGATATCTGCAGAGCCTTCTCATACATTTTTTGGGCCACTGGGAGCTGGTTAATGTTTAGCAGATAGCGAGCATAGGAGTCTAGGCTCATCCCAAGCAAGAGACGGGTGTTGGCCTTTTCTTCAGCTGCAAATAGAGAGGAGTGGAAGTAATCACTTCTACAAGATCAAACATGAGTCTCCATCCTACAAGAGCGGGAAACTCATGCAGCGTGAAGACAATGAATTGACATGAAGATGGTGTTTAGGCAATACAGAAGACAACATCAAGGACAGGGAAATGGAGAAAAAAAATAATGAGAAGCCTTCAGCAGACAAGGCAGTTTCACCTGGTAAGACATCCTCAGGCAAGTCCTTTTGCTTGGCAATCTTCTCCTCTAAGGTCAGGATGCAGAACTCGTAGCCAGCCAGGGCTAACTTGTGCCTGCAAAGTACAACAACTGATCAAAGCAAGGCTCCTTCCATCCCTGAAGGGACAGACGCGAACACCTTCAATCCCTCATTCTAGAGGGGCCTGTAAAACCAGACCCTTCTTGCCCTCAGTGCGTTCTTCTTGATCATGGCCTGTACCCTTCTCTTGACCTATGGGCAAAGGGATCCAAGAGGTGGAAGGGCCCCCCCTCCCCCCGAGATAAGGCCAGCTAAGGCAACCCATTGCTCCACTGAAAAATGAAGCTACAAGTTACCAGCCACCAACTGCTTCAAAAGCCTTCTCTCCTGCGAGGTGTGGATTTAAGACTAAAGAGCTATGTCCTCTATGGCTCCTTCTGCCCTAAGCTGGGCAGGTC